CTGTGTGGTCTGCTCCTGCCACAGTAGCAGCTACAGTGGTTGTGAGACCTATGCCCCTTTGAATCACCAGGCCCTGGGACAACCTCCTCCCCTGGTGGACCTGGTGCTGTTGGCAGTCAGACAGGGTACAGTCACAGAAGACCCCGTGGTGGGAGCCTCCCGGAGTGCCGAGAAGGCCACTCCCACTTGACTTCCTGCACTCTGGGGCTTCTCACTGCTCTGTCCTGCTGGGCCAGCTCATTGGTCTCCCCCTGCCAAGGTACAAACCTGAGATCACTGCCCCTTATCCCCCCAAGAAGCAGTGCAGACGCTGAATCTCCAGGTCCAAGGAAAATGCAGTTTAGGGCCCAGCTTCCTGGAATACTATTCCCCAGATGGGATGTGAACCCCAAATGAATTATTTAGGAAACCCTCCCTCCCCTGTAGCAATGGAAGGAGGATGTGCACTCTGATTGCTCCCCCAGGTAACAATTATTTACACTGTGCTTGATAGTAATTAAAAGTGATTTTATTAAGCACAAGCAGTAAGATTTAAGTGTCTGTAAGTCAGAACAGGCAGAGCAAAGTAGGTTACAAACTCAAAGTAACAGAGAACGTTTAGCTAATTCCAACACTGAAACCTCAGTACAAACTCACCCTGAAACTGTTCCTTTCCAAGCTAAGCCTTCCAAACCAGAGCTGTTCCTCACTCTGCAGTCTTTGGTTCCTTCCCTACAGGTGTGTCCAGCCAGCCCCCAAAGACCAAACCTGCTAGCTTCCTATTGTTGTTAAAGATTCCCTTTGGGCGGGAATTCTGTTTCTACATTCCATCCTTCCAGTTGGGGTGGACATGTGACTTCCTCAGCCCAACCTCTGCTAAGACTTAAAGACAAAAGGCCATTTGCATAAGATTGCCCAGACACTGGAAACACCCTTGATGGCTTTCCATTTACACATTTGAAATCATCACGTATTCCATACTCCATTGATTTAACTTTACACACAAGAATGATCCATACACCAAATTAAGATAAAGAGGCCCTGCCAATTAAGACATGAAGATGAATAGGTTACCTGAAGCAATTTGTCCCAAGCATTTTTGAGTTATATCTATTTGTGTCCATATTTTCATTTCATAAAGCATGTGGAGGGGAGAGGGCGGGGAGCGGGGAATATCACACCGTGTTCTCACCCTACCTTAGTGGAATTCAGAGCAGCTGGTCTGAGCTCTGCCCATTGGTAACAGCTTCCCACAGGACGGCACACTCTGGCCAAGTCCCTGAGGACTTCCCCTTGAAGCCCCAGCTGCATCCCATCTCTTCCTACAAAGTCCCTGTCCACCTCTCCTTCCCTTTCTCTGATGCTTTGCCACCCAGCCAGGCCAGGGCTAGTCCATAGCATTCTCCACCCTCCTTGGTATATACATCTGGAGAGCAAAATGTGAAAGATCTGGGGCTTCTCACAATGGCCCCAGCTCCCTGGCCAGGTTTGACCATGGCCTAGCTCTGGATTTCATCGTGAAGAGGGGTGGGACAGAGTCTCAGTTAAATCCTTTCTCTGATGCTTTGCCACCCAGCCAGGCCAGGGCTAGTCCATAGCATTCTCCACCCTCCTTGGTATATACATCTGGAGAGCAAAATGTGAAAGATCTGGGGCTTCTCACAATGGCCCCAGCTCCCTGGCCAGGTTTGACCATGGCCTAGCTCTGGATTTCATCGTGAAGAGGGGTGGGACAGAGTCTCAGTTAAATCGGAGTAGGTGGGGTGCAGCCTTGAGAGAAGAAAAGGAAGAAACCTCGGGAGAAAAGAATCCAGCTATGAATATGTAGCCGTAGTCACCAGAAGTGTTTGTTGTATCCTGTGTCACCAGCCCTGGAGCCATGAGGTGAACTTGATGAACACCCTGATGAGCCGCGCACGAATATGTTTGCTTTTCATGCTGTACACAATCGGGTTCATCAGGGGTGGGACCAGCAGGTAGATGTAGCCCAGGAGAATCTGAAGCAAGTGAGTAGAGCTGTTCCCAAATCTGTGTATCACAGCCAGGCCGATGTCTGGCACAAAGAAGAGCAGGACAGCGCAGAGGTGGGAGACACAGGTGTTCAGGGCCCTGAGACTCTCCGTGCGGGATGCGATGCCCAGCACTGTTTTGAGGATCATCACATAGGAGACGAAGATGAGTAGCGAGTCCAACCCCACGGTGGAGATTGTAACAAACAAGCCATAGATGCTACTGACTTTTATGTCTGAACAAGCCAACTTCATGACATCCTGGTTTAGACAGTAGCAATGGGACAGGACATTGGCTCGGCAGTATTGGTAGCGTTTCAGAAAAAGGGGGACTGGGAATACTACAGCGACCCCTCTAACCACAAACGCCAGCCCCATCTTGGCTATTCTTGGCAGGGTTAAGATGGAGGTGTATGTCATTGGGTTATAGATCGCGATGAAGCGGTCAAAGGCCATCAACAAGAGTACTGAGGATTCAATTTTTGAAAGAAAATGGATGAAGAACAGCTGTGCCAAACAGGCATTGAGGCTGATCTCCCTGGAGTTAAACAAAAATACACCCAGTATCGTTGGCATGCCGGTTATCGATATGCCAAGGTCAGTGATAGCCAACATGGAAAGGAAAATGTACATGGGCTCATGGAGACTTTGATCTGTTTTTATAAAGAATATAATGACTGCATTTCCTACTATTGAAATAGCATACATGAAGCTTAGGGGGATAGCGATCCAGAGATGGGCGTCTTCCTGCCCAGGTATCCCAGTGAGAAGGAACACTGCAGATTGCAATGTGGTCTCATTCACAGCTGACATCTCATTCACCAGCTGGGCAGGTCCAAGGCGTTCTGAGTTTTCCTTCCTCAAAAGAAAAAGAACAGGAGACCCGATGATATTGAATAAGACATCTTTCTGCACTGAATGGGCGTCAAGAGACTCTTAGGGGTTCAAGAAAGATCAGCAAACATTTAGTTCTGCAATTACAACATTGATTTAGCATTTACACCTACTAGTGAGACATATTTGGTGGTATAAATCAGGGAGATTGACAGCCCTTCCCAGACATTTAAAAACAAATCTTTACTGCTGTAATTGGATTTACTGGTTAACCAT